CCCTACAAAAAATTCTTCGGTGTTTTGTCTAATCATAGGGGGGCCATAGCCTCCCCCCCGAAATGCACATAGCTCCGGCATTGACGATACCCTCCAAGTTTTTAGCTGTCATAGCATCATTGAGAGACAAAGAAAGCTCATTAATAGTCAGCACAAAAAGATAGGAGGATAATGGACAACCCTGCCTGATACCTTTGCTACTCCCGAATCTTCAAAGTTTGCCCATTAATGATAACATAAGACAAGAGAATACATGCATTGATAGATCAAAATAACAAAATAACCATGTGGCCATTTGCGTGTGAGAGAAGAGACAATGAAATTCCATTCTGAACGACGGATAGCTTTTGCAATGTCAAATTTTAGCATAAAACCATGATACTTCCATGATCTAATTGCAAAAGAATGGGTAATTTCCTGAGTGATAATAATGTTATCACTAACACGTTAGCCCTCTATGAAAGCTTGTTGAGACAGGTGAATGTAATCCGAAAAGTGAGGCTTGAACCTATTTGCAAGAATTTTAGCAATGGTCTAATAAGTTGGCACCACTTGGTCGATGGTAAATCATTTGACATCCAACGCAACACGTACTACACGTGACTCAACACTTATTATGTTGATGCCCTTTTCCTTCTGAGAGATGTTCCCCCTTTTGATGTGGTATGTAATTGGTATTACGACCTTATTCAAAGGGAAGGATATTGATAGCAAAAGCAAGTGGTCGCAAAAAGTGTCGACTATTTTGGTTCGTATGAGAATCTTGTTGTTGTACGTGTGTACCCCATAACCAAGTGTGTTTGAATGTTCTGGAATTTAGTAGAATTTTCAACCCCCGTTTCGAAAGATAGTAGTTGGTTGGAATGCAACTAGAACCAAGCGGTCCAAGGTCCGATGGTACATGAAGAGCGGCATGAAGGAAGATGTCGGTAGTAGCTACACCTTCCAGGGGGAATGTATCTAGTGCACCAACATCGAGCGCCGGATGCCGTAACACATTTTAAAATGTTTGAAAAAAAATCTAGCATATTGACACAACATCAATCTAAGTTGTCACAAAATTTAATACTAAAATTCTAAACATTGACTGAGATACAAAAATGATAAAATTGACATTAATGTGATAATAGGCCAACTCTAAAACCCAACTTACATTATGTACTATTCAATTTTGAATTTGTCCTTTATGTGAAATAATATGTCATGCGCCCGGGCACTATGTCTCGCCCGTAGAAATTTCTGATACCGTATCGGTTCCTATTAGGAATTGCCTACGGGCGAGTGACTATCGTGCCGCTCCATTAGCGCATGTCGCTTCCTGCCGCCCATGTCACTTTAGGTTCGCTCAGCTCCATTTCTTTTCCTTTTTGGTTTTCTTTATTTTTTCTTTGTTTTGTTTTTTTCACGTGTTTTCATCATTATTTTGTTTTTTTCCTTCATTATAATTTGGTTTCTTCATTTTTTCACCGGTATTCTTTGCCTTTTATTTTGTTTCTTTGTTATACTTTGGTTTTCTTTGTTTCTTTCTTGGTTTTTTACTTATGTTATTTTGTCGAGTTTATTTTTAAAAACAGTTTACTTTTTCTCAATACTCAATGTACATTTTTTAGCGCATACATGAAACATTTTTTTGATACACGTTGGAGAATTTTCAAATTCTTCATGTATATTTAATAAAAATGCATGGTTTGAACAATTTTTGTGAATAGAAGGTAATATTTCAAAATACACATCACACACTTTCATAATGGTGATAAACATTTTTCTAAACTAAGTAAATATTTTTTCCTGTATATAATTTTTTATCAAAATTTCACAGACATTTTTTGGAAACACGTGAATATTTCTTCAAAATATCATGTACACTTTTTAAATGGAAATAATCATTTATTTACCTACACGAACAATTTTTGGTATTGCATAAGTATTTTTTTAAATGTCCCAAACGTTTTTTAAAAACTTGGTATTTTTTAATTGTACGAATTGTTTTTTACATTACACAAAAAAATTAGGAACACATTTTTAAATACACGAACATATATTTTTGAACGCGGGGGCATTTCTAAAAATGGCACGAACATTTTTTAATGCTAAGAAACATATTTTACATTACACAACCATTTGCTTACATTTTACACATTAAAAAAATAATTTACATACTTTTTTAGATGTTAGAATGTTTTTTTATTGCCACATACACTTCTTTGAAAAGTTGTCAATTTGTTTTAAAGTGAGAAGTCCATATTACAACCTCTAACTACGACAAAGTTTAAAACACAACCATAAACTATGAAACCGTCTTGTTCACAACCCTCAACTTTCAAGACCCGACAAATAATAACTATGGACTAGATTTCTGATCGTTTTTGACTGGTTTTGACTAGATGGTTTCCCAGCACAGGGTTGTAAACAGACAGTTTTGTAGTTCAGGATTGTATTTTAGACTTTCAATGTATTCGATGTTGTAATATGGACTTGTCTTTTTTTTTAAAAACTACGCTAACAAAAAACTTATACTATGTTAACACTTTTTTTCAAATTCATGGTTTTAATTTTTAAAGTAAGTTTATGTTTTTGAAATATATGCATTTAAAACATTAAAAAAATTAAAATTTGAGTGACATCAGGATGATGTCAGTATGACAACCCTCGTCCCATACTGGACCAGCCCACCACCTGCTCATTGTAGCATGCTCGGAGCCTCGCAGGCAAGGCGGACATTTGTCTCGCTATAAGCGAGACATAGACCCCCCCCCTCCCCTGCGCGTACTCTATTACTAGTGGGATGTCTTTTTCTGTTTGCTTCTTGATGAAAACATAATGACGTGCAAATCCTATATACCTAAGAGAGTGATCTCCCGCTACTTCTAATTATCATGACATGCATACTTCCACATCATCAAAATTGTCATAGCCGTTAAATTTACTATCAAGATTGCCTAGCATCCATCTGATCTACACACGAGAATTCTCTATGGTGCAACATGCACTAGTGGATTCTAAATGGGTTTTTAATCACACTAGATTTAATTATGACACAACCCACTACTTATTTTTTCTAGACGTGCAACCATGTCACGTCAACATATCATGCATATAAGTTATAAGTTACATTTTTTGTGTTAGCATATCCGTGCAGCACTGTCACATCATCAGTTCATGCATGCAATTCATCAGTTGTTTTCTTTGGAATGACACTTTTAAATGTAATCTAATTTCTTTTCTCTTTTATACATGTTTTTGTTATATGCTTTATATTTTTTAATGTTTTAAATTGTATATCAAGAAAAATACTCTTTCGTTTTATTTTTATTAATTTTAGTTGTTTATCTAGCATCCAATTATGCATTTAACCAAATTATCACAACAACGTGCGGGGTATCGTCTACTTAACGGTGGACATACATCACGAGTTCTGCACACTGACTCGGAAGCCACAGTGCAGTTTGTTTATGCAGCCCCGGCCTCTACTTTCCATGGTGCTCCCAACCAAGCCCAAGTGGTTCTCCTTGTCATCCGCTCTAGCGCGGTAGACAACCAATATATGGTTCCACTAACGCCTAATCTGTTCCTTCCTTTTGATTGCCTTGGGACATTAGCAGCGCACTAGCACGCACTTGCGCATGCACGCTCAAAAGACATGGAGACAAAATTAAGCGGCCGTTATACCATCCACCTCTCGATCGCTTTCCGTTATTCTAAGGAGAATTTCGGACGAGACGATCAGGCCAATATCCAGGCCAGCTATCTATATAAACCATGTTATGTACTGCTCGGATGCTTCAGTCAGCGCTCGAGGGAACTCGGGACTAGAGCTAGAGGGAGCTGAGAGGAAGAAGGGGAAAATGGGCTCCAGTAGGGTTGGTACAGTTTCCCTTGTTCTTCTACTGCTCATCGTCGTTTCGGTTTGCGCCGCAGGTCGGTTGTTTCCCCTGTTCCCAACCTTTTGATTTTTCTGTGCCATAGAAAGTATTTGTCTTCTGTTTGGAGCTAAACTTTTAACTTGGAGATCTTCTGTTGTGGTCTTTGTAGGAGGCAGGGGGCTGGCCGAAGAAAAGATTCAGAAGGTATGCCCATCTACTCGATTATCCATCCATTCAGGCCCTGTACAATACTTGTTTGAGAACTAGATGATTTGTTTGAACTTTGAACTACAAGTTGACAATATAAACTGAATATAATTCGAGGTTCCATATTGAGAAGTTTAAATTTCTATGTATTTGGAGCTATCTTTATCACGAAATAATGTCTTATATTGCTCTCATCTCGCCAAATTCAGGAACATCACAACGCTGTGCACAAGGAGGGAACGACAGCTCCAGGCAGCCATCCAAGGAACCTCATGGTGAAGACGAACGACTACGGCCGCTACGACCCGACTCCAGCGTTCTCCAGGCCTCGCTTCAAGCCTATACCTCACTGATGGACATGACTGCTGCTCTGCTCCTGCACAGAGTCATATATATTTTTAAACTAATTAACAACATATGGTTGTTGTTTCTGCAAGGTATGCGAACCACTGGTTCGGGCACTGGTTTTCCTAAGTTTGTAACTGATATAAGAGTAAGGGTTGTACTGTATGCCGAATATATTTATAGTAATGAAATATGCCAAAAAAATATGTTTAGAAACTCCATTCAGCGATGAATTACAATCGTATACATTTAGTCGCATATAACACATGTTTCACTGGTAAAATTGACGACCTAAATACATGTGCCACTACTGGAATCGCCGCCTTTGCCGAGTTCCAGAGGCTTTTGTACTCGGCGAATAAATGGTGTAGACGGAACGGAGCAAACATCAAATGCTTTCCAAAGGCTTTTGTATCTGGCAAATAAATGGTGTAGACGGAACAGAGCAAACATCAGGTTCTTTCCAGAGGCTTTTGTACTCAGCAAATAAGGGCTCCTTTTATTCAAGCGATTTGTATAGGAATTTTGAAGGATTGTAATCCTTAGAATTTTTTTTATGTTGATTGTTTGATTCATAGGATTGAATTCTATAGAATTTTCTCGTAAAGATTTATTTGTACTACTTTCCTTAAGATTTTTAGCATTCATTCAAATCTCTTTGTAAGAATCCTTTATTTTTTCAATGATGCCATCAAACAACCCAAAATCATATAGGATTGAGATGACCATAGAATTCTAATCCTATGTTTTTCTATTCCCGTGTTTTTAAAATCCCACGAATCAAAGAGAATGGTGTAGACAGAATTGAGCAAACATCAAGTGCTTTCCAGAGGCTTTTGTACATGGCTTATGGTGCAAACGGAGCAAACATCAAGGACACCACGTGTCACAGAGGCTTTGTGAGTGCTGCACTTGGCAAAGGTTCAATGCTTTACCGAGTGTTAAATGCGGCAATCTATTGAGCTGATTTAAAAAAACATCACCATCACTGCCATGTACTGCCGATGCGCAGGTGCCGCAGACCACAGAGGGGACATGCATAACAGGGAAAAAGAGAACAATTAATGTACAAAAAAGAAACAAGAGAAAGGAGAACAAAACGGAAAAATAAAAACAAATGTTTGTTGTGTCTCCAATCAAAAGACACTCGGCAAAGAGAAATGACAAGAAAATTTAAAAGAAAAAAGAAATATTTGACAGTGCAAAAAAGGAACTCAGCAAAGATTTCTTTGCCTAGTTCAATAAAAAGGGTACTCGGAAAAGGTGGTGTTTGTCTAGTTCTCTGATAAAATACACTTGGCAAACACTTAGAACTGGGTGAATCCCAGATTCCAGTAGTGTGCCCACCTTACAGAGCTGGATAGAGGCGGTCTCAACGGTCCGTGTTGGTTCGGAAATCGGAATCTACCACTAGTAGGATTAAAACGTAACATAGATCTTTAACCTAGCTCGAATCATTCACGAAACATGCATAGATCTTCAATCCGACTCAGATCATTAACGAAACACAATGAACACGCGAGGCAGGATGGGCGAAGGAGGACTCTTCTGACGATCTTAATGGTGTGGGAAGGAATCAACTTTATATGTTGGTCCAACACATCCTCCACAAGTAGGGTGAGACTAAACTTCCATATCCTTTTTGTCATGCATGAACGGGCCATAAGAGCCTAGTGTATCCTAGGAATTATTGTAAAAGATAATTGGAGTAGGCCCCATAATTCCAATACACCCTCATTCATATATAAATGATGTTACATACGTACATACGTTGGTAGATTTTATAGAAATTTATAGATTTTCAATACCTTGAATCATTATAGTTTGTATTTACATTGTTTTTTAATACCAAAGGCTATGTAATAAAATATATTTAAGTCAAACTATCCTTATGAGGCCATCCATACTAATACGAAAATTATGCACCGGTCATTGGGAAAACCGATGTCATCTTCCTCCTGAACTCGCCGCCAAGAGCACCACGCAAGCGAAGCTTGATGCCACTTCTAGATCTTCGAAACACTATTGAAGTGGGAGGCCAACTTCCACCATTGGAGTGGGAGGCCAACTGCGACGAGGCCTCTCCTCCTTGGCCATCCTCTCGGGCTGGTGCCTTTGGAAGCACCGCAACCGATGCCTGTTCGACGGCGATCGACCCTCCATCAGCTACATCGTCCACGCCGTCCAGGAGGAGGCCCGGCTTTGGGCACGCGCCAGCGCCACAGGGTTAACGCACATCATACCCGAGACGTAGCCCCATGTAGACCATGGAGGCGCACCCACAAAACTCAATCATGCCATCCTTGTGTAGGCGATTGATCTCTGGCACCACTTCTGTACGCTACTTGTAACATAAACTCTGCACTTCCGTTCCATCTATCAATGAAATGATATGCAAGCCTTTTGCGTATTCGCGAAAAAGAAACACCATTGGAGTCGGGAAACGTTCTTGACACAACGGTCGGTGGTTGTAGCTCAGGGATGTCTGCGACAGTGATCTCGAAATAGATTGTCGTCCCGGAGAAGAAGGCGACCAAATAGATTTGGTGAGACGACGTAATATAACAAGATTTCTGACGACGCCGAAGTGGACCGAATTCGCCAATCAAAGGACGACATTGTCCACTTCTTGCCGAAAGATACTACCTTCAAAGAGCACGTACATAGCATGAAGACACAAATAGATCCACCACTTGTTGCTAAGACCACTGCTATTCAATGATACTACCTTCAAAAAGCAATGACCATACGATCCCCTACCCTTCCCAACCTTGCCCATAAGATCACTGATGTTCAATACTACATTCGAAGATACTGCCTTCAAAAAGAAACGACCATACTATCCCCTACCCTCCTCAACCTTGTCAATAAGACCACTGTTGATGAGGTGGACCAGGAGTCAGAAATGAATTATTCTTGATCCACACAGCGTTGCCATCGCCACTACCACACCGACACTGGGGGGGGGGGGACCCTAATTCTACGAGACCTAATTATAGCACCACAACGCATATCCAAGGTTCCCAGCCCCTCCCGCCGCCGGAGCATCAAGCGAAGGAGGAGGGGACTCGTGTCCTCGTCGCCAGAGAGCAGTGGAGTAGTGGCAGCTAGGGTTTCTGGAAAGTGAGTCGGCTTGTTTTTGCAGGATAGTTCATGGCATTTACACGTTCACTGATGTTTTTTGACCATCAGTCCTTGTAGGCATATGTTAGTAAATAAAAACATCATGGTAATATTGTTCTATCTATTGAAGCTTTTCTCTGATTGTGTATATTTTGTATATATAAGTAGTGAAAATTATAACACTGATACTGCATACTGTCTGTTTATTATTTGGACATTCCGTTTAACAAACGCTTTGCTAATGCTCATTAGTCGATGGTTGGAGGGTCAATTTCATGTAGAGATCCTTGCAAGAATGACATGAATTTATAAATGTCGGGGACACTTTTCTAGCATTGGATAAATAAATCATTTTTTGAACTATCACTGGGAGAGGGTCCCCACCTGAATGCATTATGCAAAGCATTGTCATGGAAGTTGTTACAAGGGTGTGCTAGAGCGTGAGGCTAGGCATTGTTGCCAAGACACAGTGGCAACCTTTTGCGTAGGCTTAGGGAATCTAAAACACCAAAGAGTAAAACAAGAGACAATGCTCCTTATGGTTACAAGGGGGTGTGAAGATCGTTTCGAAAGGTGACAACATTTCACAAGTCCCAAAGCTACCATAGGATGGACATAGCAACATCCAACCATAGCTGATTGTCAAGGCTTGGAGGTGGTTTGGACATCCCAAATG